CATCATTTTGCTAGGTAAACTTCCTGCAGTATAACATCAGTCAGGACTGAAGCACAGTGCTGCTCCAGAGGAAATGGACCAATAAGCCTCTGCCTGACGGAAAGCCCTTGCTCTCTGACCTGACTTGGAACCCCGCTGGAATTTTGGAAATAAATCATTTTTCAGTTCTTGTTTCAGCCTTCTCTGGCCAGTGTCTTCACGTCTATTGTACCTTGTGATCATTACTGATAAAACCCAAGACTCAGCTTGGGATGGAGGAATCTGTGTCTACACTGGAACCAGAGTGGAAAGACCAAGTTCTGGATTCATACTGATGTAAAAGGTTTTGGACTTCATAATGCAGAGGTCAGTGACCTCCTGTTGACAGGGCTTAAATGCAAGTCACCAGCAAATACATCTGAATCTCATGAAGTACAAAGAACCGGAGGCTCCCATTCTAGAGCTTAAAAAGCACTTTCCAGACAGATGGTCAGTGATACATACCTACTCCATACGTAAGAGTGAAGTTTAGAAACACTAAGACCTGTACCTAAGATGTTTCTTAGGAATTGCCGGGAAAACTTGAACCTTAATTTCTAAGACTCACAAGCTGCCATATAGGACTATGGTCATTTCTTAAATGAAGCAGAATTGCTTGTAAATCTTTTTCCCACAATATTTTTACTGTATTCTATTCAACTACCCAAGTCATGAATGAATTTGGAAGGCAGAAAAGACTGTGGATCCAACTTTATATGCTATTATAATTGGGGGGACCGCCACTCTCACTTATTTTTTTTAAATTAGTTTTCAAAAGCCACATAATACACTTCTTAATGTCCACTGAGTCTGCTTCTCTCACTTGTCATTCACATTTACCAGCTCTTTGCACTCACACTTCTCCCCAGCTGCCTTGTAGGTTAATGTAGACAGCAGAGAGAATACAAGCACAGCAAAGCTCGCCGGCCGGCTGCAGAGCTAGACCCTAATGAGAACCAGGGAAGGCAGGAATCGGAGAAACCACACAGTTCCTGAATTTTTCATTCCTCGTGGCTCCGTCCTCGTTTGTCATGTCTGAGACTCATTTTGTCTTCAACTTCACGGCCTGGCGCTTGCTTCTGAGGCAGTCTAATCCACACTTAAATACACTGTTTGAGCTTTCATCTTGGTAAATGTCAAAGGAAGAGAAGATGTTTTGTGCACCTAGAGCATGCTAAAACCCCTGCCAGCCCCATGCGTCTGACTCGGCGTTACCCTGCCCCAGAAGGCGAGCACAATTTCATTATCGGTGAATCATCACCTCTCAGACTGCAGCATCCTTGTTAGGGAGCCTAACAGGGGCCGTGTTCAGCGGGCCGAAAGCGAGGGAGGGACAGAGCACGGGGCAGAGCGCGGGTCACTGGCACAGTCCGCGGCCCGCAGCCCTCTGAACTGGAGCGGCGGCGTCCCTCCCTCCACAGCTGCGGTACCTACTGGCCAGGGAATAGCTGGTGGAGATTATTCCATGTTAATAGTGAAGTTTGCTTTCCCCAACCTAAACTGAATTGGATTTTAATATTCTGCCTATGGAAAATATTAACACATGCAATGAAAATGCCGTATCACTTTTTGCCAATATGAACTAGTGTAAACACTGTAAATATTTCCTGTCTACTCTTACTTCAGTATTAATCGCTTTTCATCTTTGGACACAACCCTGGCCTTCAATCTGGCATTACTAAGGAAGTCACTGCGGAAACTAAACTTTCAAACAGGACACAGTAATTATGTTTTCAAGGAAAATGAGCTGAGCACAATTAAAATCTTATGCATACACAACAAGCTACGTATGCTGTAACCCACATTTACGACTGGATTCAGGATAAAAAGCTAAAACAAGTACGAATATTTGTAGTTAGCCTAAATAGCCACTAGATGTCACTGCTTCTCCACAGAAACACACTATCGACTCGCATATTTAGGTAGTTGATTCACCGAATCAAGTAAAAAAATGGTTTAAATTTTTGCAAACGTGTAATGTCAACATCTTTGGAAAATAATAACGCATTTAAAATGAATATAACTTGCATAAACATTACTTAGAAGACTAGCACTGGGACTGTGCTACAATACCATTATACATGTTGAAGCTAGGAAAAATGGGGGGGAAAAAACAAAAAACAAAAAAAACCACCCAAATACATGCCATTGAAGGAGACCAAGCTCCATTTCCTTTCTGCTTTGAAAAAGCATTCGAAGTGCTGTGGGGACCCTCTCTGCATCGACGCACACTGTTGAACTGTAGCTCAACAGGTCAGGCTGTTGAGGTAACTGTTGTCACCTTAGAAGGAAGTTAGATGTGTCATGTAAATTTGCGCTAGAAAAATGTCAGTCAGATTTCCTTAATATGCAGTGGGTTTTAAATACTTATAAAAGTAGCTATCTGGTATGTAGCACGGAAAGCTCCAGAGGCGGAAGTGAGGGCAACAGCTTCTGACCAGGAAGGCACCGGCAGTTGGCCCTTTAGAATTTGCAGTGGGGAAGTAGCGGTGTCTAAAGCACAGGAGTTACATACTTGTTCTCCGAGGACCCTGAGAACTAGAGAGGAGGCGTGGGAAAGAGCTTTTCTTGTAATTTCGTGAACTGAATCAGTTTTATTTTGGAAGGGATATTGTTTTTTGCTTGTCTATTAAATTTGTGAGTAAAGCTAGGCATTAAAAAATGACCAGCTTTTAAAATATTGGTCATTCATTTAATCTTATGCCACATTTTACACACCTGGTGGCTTTGATTCAGAAATATTTTTAAGACAGCAAATATATTCTATATATACTAGTAGAACCACAACACTGATATTCTGCAAGAATTCAAAAACGTAAGTATGCCTTGCCTAAATATATTTAGTATTCATTACAAATGAGGCAGAAGGTCAAGGCAAAAAATAAAAATGGGCCTTTTCACTTCAACACTGCATTTAATACAATCATCTTTAGTGCAGATAAAAGTGAGGCTGACTAAAGAAAATCTGTTCTTTAAATGGAATATGCACTTACTCACACTTTATGGAAAATGTAAGATTACAACTTCAGTGAAAAACATCACAGTAAACTCAGTCATCCAGTTCATAATACTGTAAGAAAGTACTTGCATTATTAATGCGTTGGTAATATATGACTATTTGCCATTGCTAAACATATATTCAGCATGTGTTTTGGGAAATACATATCTATGATGCTTTTGTGAATGAGCATGTATTTTAAGATTCAATCAAAATCAAAGCACCTAGAAAAATCCACTTTGACTGTTTCTTTTTCCTTTATTGCTTATAGAAGTATGATTTTAATAATCTGGCTTCCTTGCAACTATATCACGGTGACTTGCCTAGAATTTTCCCCTCAGCCTGTGAAAAACCTCCCAACTATATAAAAATGCTGGTAAAAATAGCCATTCACTTTTTCTTTCTTGCTGCAGTGATTCTGCTTTGAAAGAACAGGGACATGGCTAGAGATGTGAGGCTTGGCAAATCAAACTAAATGAAACAGCCTCAATGAGGCAATTCTTAATTTTTGCTCCCATAATAAAACTGTTCATGTTGGAAGATGAAAGAGGACAGACGAAAGACATTTTTTGAAAATCTCAGTGGACTGTAGTTCATGTCCCTGAAATACAGAGACTATGATATTTGTTCTGCAGTCAATAAACTTTCACCAGTGACATAAAGACATGCATGCAGTTTGCAGATTGCCAGCAAGGTCTGTACAGAATTGTACTGACGGATGAGTTTACAACACAGCTGAACACAGGGACGCAGTAATGTCACAACAGCAAAGCAAAAAGAACTATCATAGCGTCATTCTTCTTCCCCCAAGGAGATACTTTATACATTTATTAAGGTGCTATCATCTTTCTCAATGAGGCTGTTGGAAGCCACATCTTGGACTATGTTCTCTCTGAGTGTCTGAATGGACAGTCAGTCATTAGGGGACTGGTGTGTACAGGCACATCATGGGACACCACAGGACTGCCTGACAAATCCTAAACACAGCAGCACAGAGCTAATGAGTCCACCGACTACACTGGGGTCTTTGAAAAACCTGGAAAGAAATTCTGGTAAGGTCCCAGCCACATGCATGTAGTAAGTCTTCTTCTCATTTGAAAATCTTATCTCTGAAAACTCACACATGAGGAGCTGTGGAGAAATCTGCCTCCTCAAATTTGCTTATTATTAGCTATTTCATTAATCAATATGTTTAGGAAATATGCAGACTAGAAGAAATTGACAGTGAAAGCTGGAGTGTGATTTCCCAGGGGTGGGTTTCAGAGATAAGTCTTCCAGACTTAAACTTTGTGTATTTACCATTTCCTCACATTTTGCAATTGTCCATTTGCAGCTTTTAACCCTTCCACAGTTTTCCCCTGTGCTTGCCTGGTGTCACTCAGCCACCTCCGGAAACTGCCCACTGCGCTGCTTCAGCCCGGCACCATCTTTTGAGAGTTTCCTGCAGTTTTCTTTTAAAACCAGGCATTGTTTTAACAGCTCTGTCCCTAAAATGTTCCTATAATCAAGTCATGTCTGAAAAATCAGTTGAGCTCTGAGTACCTGGGATCATTTATCCTTTTCTTTGATTTACAAATGAACACAGACCATCTAGAGCAGTAAATTGGGTCTAACTGGAAGGCAAACAGCAGCAGATGTGGGAGATTACTTATGGAAGGACTTTTATCTTAAAACAAATGTGGTGTTAATAGAATCAATAAAGGGTCTCACACAATAGGCATTGTGTTAAACCAGAGTTCACACTTCACATTGATTGTGGTGTTTAAATTTCAATGGGCTGATTATGTAAGGGAGGAGAATGACCAGTATTATGAATGCACTCACACGGGCAGGGAATGGCCTCGCCAGCACAGTGAGACTGCGAGGGAGAGGGGAAGAGGGGGCACCGTGTTCCCTTTATCGTCGCCAGAGTTCAATAAAGCACCACTTATTTCCCAGCTTTTAAGAGCGCTTTTTTTTTTTTTTTTATCACAATGGTTCATACCTCACACTCCCTGGAGCCTGACTTGTTATAGGTGCAGGGTCCCGTCCCGTTCAGCAGCATCTCGCTGGTCTCTGTGTTGGTGGGCTTATAATCTACATAGAATTCCTGGGTGCTGGGAGTCATTTGCTTAAGCGACTGCCTTTTCTTTTTCCTGTGCCTTCGCATGAGGGAGCGCTGCTGCAGCTGCTTCATGCTCGCCGGGTACCGCTTCCATGACACATAGATCACGAGCAGGATGACAAGCACGGACAGGAAAAGGGCCACACTCCCCGCGATGATCTTGTGGAAAGAGATGTGCTCCGTGTCGGCGTCCGTCTCTGGGCCAGGCTCTGTAGCTCCCACGGTGGGGGGAACAGGGGGCTTGCTCTCATGCTTGGGCCTGGGGAGCTTGGGCTTAAACGTTGGTTTTGGGAGAGCCCTGGCCAGATCAAACCTCTCCGTGGTACTTTTGCCACAGATGCTGTAGTTCTTCACTGCATCGATCACATTGACTCCTTGCAGCTCTTTGGGACTGGCACAGATAATTGTATTCTCCCTCAGACCCTTAAAACTTTTCAGCCAGTTTACCAGGGAGCAAATATTTCTGCTGCATTCCCATATATTCCCAGCAAGACTGATGTCATTGAGGGATATCCAAGAATCCAAAATCTCTTGACCAATAAATGTGAGCTTGTTGGAATCCAGGTTGAGGCGCTGCAGATTTGGGACGCACTGGAAAACACTGGGTCCACTGAAAGCTTCGATCTCATTGCCTGACAGATCAAGCCTTTGTAATGAGCTCCAGGTCCACGACATGGTCTGTCCTATGACACTGATTTTATTCCATTGCAAGTAAAGGTTCTGAAGGCTCACCAACCTTGGGAAAAGGGCCAGGTTGAGCTTGGAAAATTGGTTGTGCTCCAGGTGAAGTTCTTTGAGTCTGATCATGCCAGCAAAGACGTTCCTGGCTAAGCTTCGGATCCTGTTGTATCCCAGGTCCAAAAGTTCCAGGTTGCGGCAGTCTTGGAATATTCGCACAGGGATGGTTCTGAGAGAGTTGGACCGTAAGTGCAGACTGAGCAGCTTCCGCAAGCCCCGAAACTGCTCAGATCCCAGGGAATGCAGCTGGTTATAGGACAGATCCAAGTTCCTCAGATTGGTCACAGGTCTGAAGGTATTGTTCAGAAAATAGGAGATCCTGTTGGAGCTCAGAATCAATTCTTTGAGTCTGCGTATCCCATTAAAAGCATTCTCGTCAATATTGCTGATGTGGTTATGGTCAAGGTAGAGCCAGGTGAGCTGGTTGAGCCCTTTAAATTGATTATACTTAAGTTTTTGAAGGCTGTTATAGCGGAGGGACAAACCTAAGCAACCAGCAGATATACTTGAGGGTATCTCTTGTAATTTCTGAGATTCACAATATACCATTTTGCCTTCACACCTACAGCCCTTAGGGCATCCTCGTTCGGCAGAAGAAAGCATTGTCAGTAACACAGTGGGGGCTATAACCAGTGCTACAGCTGATCCGCTCAGTAGCCTAATTACATTGAAACCTGGAAATGAAAACAACTCAGAAAAGTTACCCCAAAACAGAAGGCATTTTCATCAAGCAAAAATAGGCATACACGTTCATTTTTAGAAACTTAAATATAGATAACAACGTTTAACATCAAATGTGATCTCTTTGAAATTTATGGAGATGGTCTTTAGTTTTTTTTTTAATTGTTAAACAAGGAAACCTGTCTACTAAGCGACTGAATTTACAGCCTTAGAGCAGAACAAGGTAATCTCTAAAATAATGAAGGTAGAATTATTACATAGACTAGAAGATTTTTGATTTTTTTAAGAAGGAAAGAAGAAAAATGACAAAACATACCCATCCTTTGTATTGTTCAAAGGTCGTCTTTAGGTCTTTCGCTCTGGCTTAGGGGCCACTTGCATGACAGCCCTTGTCAGCTGCACCGTAGTGAGTCAGGGCTCGCTGACACCCAGGAAGAAAAATTGGACCCCTTGGGAGATGGACCGATTTTGGAACATTATTCTTTACCAGCCACGCAGAACACTCCAAGAACAAATAAATCCCAATACCGCAATCGCAGCAAAACATCGAAATCTTCCTAGGTGATAGGGTCTTCATGGATATTACGTTTTTGCATCTTTACAGGTTTTTTTTTTTTTTTTTTCTGAGGAAGGGGGTTACAAAAACTGGTCTTTACAATCTCTTCTTATCAGAATGCATGATGTATTCCTTCAGGCAGCGTGGGCTACCTGAGCCGCCACATCTGTACTCCATACCCGGCGGCTCCCGCGGCGAGCACCCAGTTCAGCCACAGCCGCGGCGGAGCCCGGAGGGCAGGGAGCCTCTCAGCGCGCACACGCTCGCTCACTTCTGCAGACTGTCATTCTGAAAGCTGCCCGGGCTGCTGCTTTGGTTTCAGTGAATGCAGTCTTATGTAAAGCTGCCCCCAGTGGTGAAGAACATTATGGGCATGTGCAGAAATGCCTCTCTTTTATCTTGCAAATGAACAGGCTCTCTGCTGGAAAATGAATGATTCTTTTGGGGAGCTCAATAGGAACTGAATGGTCACCGTAATCAATAAGTGGCGACGTTTTCTGTGATTTTCAGGTCTTGTTTCACAGTCTGGCGATGTCTACATTGTCCGCGTCCACTTAATTGCTGATCATGAGCGCTGCCCAGAGTTTTTCTAAAGCTTGACATTAAGTTTGTAGACTGAATGTCAATTTCTCCCAACCTCGGTGTAAGCTTTCAACTGGAATTTATAAAATGAATCACTGAGCTTTTCACAGAGGGGCACTGACTGCGTGCCGCTTTGCCCTCTTGGAGTCACAGTAATTACATAACGCAAGGTGCCTCAGCACGATGGAACACATACTTTCTGACTAATAACATGTGAACCAGTGGGCCCAATAGGCTTTCTGGTTTTCTCACCGGGTATGTAATTGGTTTGACGGCTTATTGTTTGGGTCACTTTTTTTATTAGAAGAGAAATAAGCCGTTTTTAGTGCTAGTATGAGTCAAGAGGTCATTTGGCTCAGAGTTCATTGATGCCACTGCTATTTATTACACTATAATATTTACCGAGTGCTTCCTAAGTGCTTGGAGTGGCCCTTCCTGATTTATTTTTAAGCACTGTTATGATGTAGGTCCCACTATAACTTCAATGTGAAAGTCGAAGAAAGGGACTTCAAGAGGTCACTTGTCCAAGGCCACACTGCAAGAAAGCGGTAGAACTGGGATTCAGAACCAAGTAAGAGCTTTATTCTTGACTTACTAACCAGGTAATCCTGTTCAACAGCACTGCTATCTTCATTTTAAAAAGGAAATCCAGTGAAAATAAGCTTAAGGGACTTGACGCTGTAATCCACTATTTCTTGTCCTCTAGAAGGAACGGTAGAAATTTCTTTGGTGTAAAGCTCCTAAAGAAATATCATAAAACTAAGGAGAAACAGGTTAGTCTTTTGATTAAGAACAAGGATTTTGGTGCTAAGATTCTAATTTTGGCTATAATTTACTGGCAATGTAACCTTTAACAAGTTGTTTATCCCCTCTATGTATCAATTTTTCTCTTCTGCAAAATGGCCATGATAAAAAATACCTCAGAGACATGTTTTGAGAATTAAGTCATTGTAATATCTGTGCTTAGAATATTGTATAGCATATGGAAAGGTTGTGTTAACTATTTGAAAAATATCAGTCTTCTGGTATTTCCTAGTAATGCATGTTGTTTACTTTTGAATGTTAAATACATGGACAGTTATTAACTCACAAGAACCTGTTTTGGTGAATATTATTTGCATTGTACATTATGAATTTCTGAGGTTCATTCACTAGGTCTCTTTTATGAGAAAATTTCCTACACTATAGCTCCATCATTTTGCAGTTATCTTTAAAATGAATCATTTGATTCTATATATCATAAATAATAATATTTAAACTTTCCTACTGCAAAACAGCACATGGTAACATCTATCTGATAGAGATAGGCATTTGGTTACAAATAAATGCCATTCTTTAAAAAATGTACTTTATTTATATTGGATGATCTGGCTGAAAGCCAAGTTGGAAGCACTTTCATATTCTCCAAAGATGAGAAGCTTGGTAAATTTAGTTGCGATAATCCAACAGTGTTCTACAGATACGGAACAGGGTTCTACAGATACAGGTCAATGAAAATCGCCAATTCCTCAGGTGGTATGCTACTAATAGGACAACAGTTCCTCTCAAGTTAACAATGTTGGAAGTGCACCAAAAACATACAAAGAACTTGTTAAAAACATAGATTTCCTAATCAGTCTGGTGCTTTACCAAGATTTTGAAGGATAGGTAAGTTTAAGGAACTTCTTGCATGCCGGGCATGGTGGCACACTCCTATAATCTCAGCACTTGGGAGCCTGAGGCAGGACAAACACCAAAAATCTGAGTCTAGCCTGGGCTGCTACATAGTAAATTCAAGGCCAGCCTGAACTACATATGAGAACCTGTCTAAAAACAAGACAAGACAAAACAGAACACCCAAAAAAATTCATTGCAAAGGAATGATTAAAAGCTTTTCCCAATGGGAAGAGAGGGCGTACACAGTTACCCTGAGATATAAATGCAGTGAAGTCAAATCCATGTTTTTCTACTTGTAGTACTTGACACATTAATGTATTTATTACATAAATATATTTTTATGGGGGTCACAAATGTAAGAGATGTAGTACAAGCTGATTATGTAGTGTTAACGTTTTCTACATGTGACTGAGCCCTGCAGATTTCCTCCACCAGTGAGATTCAAAACAATTTTGGAAAATATTCTTAAGGATGTATGTGAAAAGGAAGAAACCAGAAAGTGGTAAAACATGCAAGATTAGGAGATGATCTTCACTACTTATGAAGACGGCATGGCTTGTCTTTGGAATTAAACCACAAATCTCATGAGAACAGTAGATGTACTTTTAAATATTCTCTCTGGCATAGTGCAGAAGGTCAGCATTGAGCTTTTAACATCAACATCCCAAATGGTCCTCCACAGCTTCTGTCTATCACAAAGGACAACAGGAAATCAGGTTCATAACTTCTCTCTCATAGTGTGATTGTTGAAGGGCCCAGGTTTCCCTTTTCTTTGCTTCTCCTTGGGAAGTAGCCCTTGGGATGTGTGTCTGGTCTGACAGCTGCAGAGGGCACTTCAGGGTGCCTGGAAGACCCAGGACTCTGTACTGACGGCCTGCTGTGCCTTTCTCCCTGTGATAGTACAGAGGGGCCCCTGAAAACGCAATTTCCTCCCTGTATTAGTGACTTCTTGTCCCAGGGACAAAATACTTGACATCCATAGCTTAAAGGAGAAGTTTATTTTAGCTCATGGTTTCAGTCCCTGGTCGGCTGGCCCAAGGCAGAAGCAGCCCGGTGGAAGGGCCTGGCGGAGGAGGAGAGCTGCTCAGCTCAGGGCCGCCAGGAAGCAGGCTGAGAGCAGAGGCGCCTGAGATCCAGGGTCCCACCACCCACCAGGCCCTGCCTCCCACACTGCTGAGTGTAGCACCCCATCCAGTCACCTTCCACACACGTGAGGTGGGGGGCGACTTAGATTGAAACCATAATACTAACTGCCATTCCCGGGACAAGGCTTGGATTATTTACGGCGAATAATATTACCTTATTGCACACGTTGTGCTTAGTTTTCCCACGTCACGTAGGTACCTTGGATCCTGATCTTGTCTTTCCCCCTCGTTCTGACTTCACACTTGGCCTTTGGCTCTTATAATTGACAACACCTCTTAGCACTGACTGTTGATGGCTTGCAACAGTAGTCAGCAGCCGTTCTTGAATTTGGTTGGCCTCTAATCCTGTGTGCCCTCTACTTTGGGGCAAGTTCTTAAACTGGCAGCACCATTCTGTTTGTCTTTGTTTGAAGTAATAAGATTATTCCTGAGCTACTGGAGTTTGAAACCCAGGAGTAGAATAACACGATGCGAAGTCATAGTGCACACTTATGGCTGCAGAAATTACCCCAAAGGCCTGGAGTAGTCACTCAAAAGAGAAAAAAATGTTCTAAGAGATTTTAATAATTTCTGGTATACTTTTGCAAGTTTATTCCCCTTTTGCTTGTTGACTATAGCAAGCTGGTTATTTCCGACTTGCTTTCAGCAGAAGCAAATTATACATTATATATTTAGCAACGTCTTTTGCGCTTAACACCACATGCAAAACTAACCATAAACTACCTGACAAGTTAATTTCCCCAATGAATCTAGGACCTAAATGATTTATACACTATTAAAACATACTGTGATCTATTGGAACACTTGTTTTATTGCATTTATAGTACTTCAAAAACTAAACATATTTTATTTAAATTGGATAAATAAATCAAATCTTTGTATATAATGCCAAATTTCAATCCATCCTGAAACCAAATTGCCAAACATATAGTTAGAAAAATCGATTGAAATAGGACGTACTGGTATCTTCAGACTGTCTAGTGTTAGAGATTTCATTTATTTAACAAATATATAGTCTAAATTCCCATTATGTATTAGAGACAAATACTCACAGTGGATCTGAATACAAAAAACAAAACAAAAACATCTGCACTGTTATGAAACGTACGTTCTAAAGGAGTAAGTCAGACAACTTAAAAATAAACACACATGGCTTATTAGTAGGTAGTGTGAGCCATGGGAAATAGAAAGATGTAAGGAATATTGGGAGTGTAAGAAATGAAGTGGATGGAATTTTGCATGGGGTGGTTAGGGCCATTAAGGAAGTGGTCTTAAGCAAACCCTGCAAGGAGATGAGCTTGTTAGACTTCAGTGTATATGGAAGGGGAGGAGCAAAGGCAAAGTTGTAAGACAGAAGCACAATGTGTGTTCAGGCAACATCCAGGGGTAGGCCTGTGAGAGCAAGGAGATGAGTACTTAGAGATGAAGTCAGATGGGTCATATTGGGTTATGAAGGGCTTTTTTGTGTCATGGCAAGAATACTGGTTTTTATTCTGAGGAAACGGGGATGCAACTTGAGATTTGTACAGAAATAAGATATAATAAAGTTGTTCATTAAAAGGGTCATTGCTATTTGTTGAATGTTTTTGTCCCATCTACATTTATATTTTGCAACCTTGTGCCCCAATGTGATGGTTTGGAGATAGAATCTTTGTGAGGGATTAGGTCCTGTGCCCGGAGCCCTCAAGATGAGATCTGTGGGCTTTGAAGGAGAAGCAGGGACGTGAACACTTGTCCCTAGCCCCACCCCCCACGCCACCAGCACTTGGCCACAGGCCACAGGAGAGTACAGGAGAAGGCAACTGACTACAGCTTAAAATCAGTCCCTTGCAGACAGAGCATCTGCTGGCACCTTGATTTTGAAGTTTCCAGCCTCTAGAACTGTGAGAAATAAATATTTGTTGTTAAACCACCCAGCATATGGTATTTTCAT